ATTACCGACTTGTGAACCAAAATTGTTCTGTAGACCAAACCAACATTACAGTGTAAATGAGCTAGGTAACGAGATACTTTGTCAGCATTAGGGTACTTATATTTAATTGACTGGGATTCACACCTTTTTCTCCATCTGTTCCACACAGGCCGGTATGTGTTGATCGTAGAGCTCCTCCAGCTCGACATGAGTAGTGCTTGCTCCTGAGCAGACCATTCGGTTGGCATAACTTGCCACTTGAAATCAGTCATGCTTCCAGTTGCAGTTCCTGAAATGCTGATGGGTGCATGCCCGTATTCGTGTCTAGAAGAACTCTGGCTAGGTCTGGAATTAGAATGGGGGATTGTAGTGCCCGACGTTGTACATCTGATCGCCAAAATACTTTGTACCATTTTGGAGCAATCACGATTAATTGACCGCTGGCTTGATTCAAGTGCCCGAGGACTCTTGGGATGAGATCTGGTGGTGGAAACAGCCACGCTAGTTTGTAGTGCCACTGGTGACAGAATGCGTTGTGGAGTTGTGCTTCCTGGTCTGTGACATCCATCGAGATGTAATTCGGCACCACGTGAGCTGTTCTTGAAGCAAAAAGGTCTATTTCCGGTGTGCCTCACATTTGAAAGATTCTCATTACCGCTGCTTGTGTCAGATGCCACTCTGGTTGGACTTTCCGTCGTGACAGAGCATCCACCTCGGCATTGAACCTGCCTGGAAAATATTGTGCTACTATGTGTATATTCAATTTGTCTAGAATTTGGATCAGTTGTCACGTCTGTTCGAGCAATTTCTTTGTCCCACCTTCTTTATTTATATAGGACACAACAGTTCAGATGTCTGTCTGAAGAACTTGCACTTGTAAACTTGTAAACTTGCACGTGCATTTTGTAAATGATGAGCCTGATGCAGGATTGCCGCGTGAACAGCGAACATCTCCTTTCGGTTGGCATGCCATGTTTGCTGTTGTACTGTCCAGGACCCGTCGATGCTGGTGTCGTCGAGCTGAGCACCCCATCCTATGTCGGATGCATCCGTGGTTAACAAGTGAGTTATGGCACTCGTGTGTATAGGCATGGACTCTCTCAAAATCTTGCCTCACCACTTCATCTCCGATCGGACTTCGTAGGGGATATTTGCTCGAAGAAATGGAAAATTCTTTGGCAACAGTCGACTGAAGTATTGCAGTGTGCGACTGTGGAACCGGCCCCGTCTGGTTACCTACGTTGTGAAATTGAGTCTCCCCATTAAGCTCTGATACTGTTTGAGAGACCACTTGCCTTTCTCGAGCTGTTCGTGAAGTGCTTTGCGTAGCGATAGACACTTCCGCTCCGGCAGGAACTTTACGTTGCGTTTTGTGTCCCAAGTTATGCCGAGAAACTCGAGGCATTGTGTAGGAACTAAAACAGATTTGTCGTAATTGACTGTCCAGCAGAGAGTTTGCATAGTCTTTACTGTGAATGCTACGTTGTTCTGCAGCTGTTCCTTGGATTGGTTCGCCAGTAGAAAGTCGTCCAAATAAACCACGCATCTGATACCGTGATTTCTCAGGAATTCTGCCACCCAGTTGGTGATTGTAGCAAAAGTCCTAGGTGCTGATGATAGGCCAAAAGGCAAAACGTCATCTGCAGCAGCTGAAGCTGAAGTGAACCGTGATGATAGTTGAGCCTCAGGAATCTGCGATGCTGTTGAGAAATGGGCACTTGGAAGTACGCTTGGCTCAAATCTAGTTTAGTAGAGTTGAAACGATTTTATCATAACGAACTTGCAGCTTGAGATTGAAGATAGGCCGGAATGTGTCGTCCGACTTGGGCATCAGAAAGAACGTCGACAGGTAGCTGGGACTTAGCTCAGCCTCTTCTAGGACACCTGCTTCCAACATAGCTTGATCCTGTGCAGTCATATGGTAGGATGATTTGGTTCGGTAATATTGCATGACTTTTGAGCTTAGAAATATTAGTAGCGGTTGAGTACAAAAGTATGCGTACGCCGTTCAATAACTGACAAATTTCTTTCGGTGCTCCTAGATTGCTCCAAACACTCTGAAATTGCTTTAGACATCCGCCTTAAAATTGTCTCGAGTCATTCGTGACGTTTTCTTTTAAATGAGGAGCGGCCCTCCGTTTTTTTAACCTTTTGTTTAACGCGGTTATTGGTAGACCTAGTTTTCGATTGGTTGATATAGCGACGTGTATGGTTGCCTCTTTTTGGAGTAGGGGTTCCGACGAAAAAATGTATCATCAAGCTGCTTGCTAGTTGACGGCTTAGGGATTTGATAAAAGTTTTCTTTGGATTGAGTTTTCATCGCTGGTTTTGGTAGCGAAGACAATTTTTCCGCAATTTTTGTTTTGCTCTTTGTCAAATAGACTAGGTGTCAATAACTCTTTGGAATCATACGCCCTGTCGACAAGCGTTTGCAACGATCTTTGTAATTAGTCTTTTTGTGTTAGCAAAGCATTGGACAGTGCAACAAATGAACGTTCCAGCAAATATGAACGAGAATCATCTTTTAACATTGCACTTTCGAATCGTTTCAACTCATCATTTAGTTCGATAAAACCAGGGGTAGTTAAATATTTCTTTTGTGCATCGATAAAACGAATACCAATCATCGCATTTAAAACGTTGTAAATCGGATAATGTCTTCAAAAAATTTTCGTTTCATTTTCCGTAAACCGGATATTTAACTAAGTGTGATAAGAGTAAGAAGGATAAAATGTTAAGCTTGTTACTCTTATCACACTCGCCTGGACGCCTTAAACTTAAGTCATTTGAAGCAACGGGTTCACTTTCAACGTTTAAATTTGAAATCCTGTTTTCCAAATTTGCGGTTAGGAGATTTGTCAAAAGCGAGATTTGCTGGAAGAAGAATTGTGGAACAAAATGAAAAAAAACTTACTTCTCTCAGGGCTTGAAACCCAGCTCGACGACGATTCGCCATCTCCACTACCCGAACACGACGATGAAGAACATTTTCACTTACGGGAATTCGAATTTTCATTTTCGTTAACACTTTCAGACGCAGTTTTTTCACTTTCCTTATCTTTGTTCTCCATTATAACGGGAGAGAAAACTTTAGAACTAAAATCACACGCTTTTTAACACTGGTATAACACTTTTTTCGCGTAGATTTATTGTAATAGCGCTGACATGCGCACGGCGCGTGAAAACGACGCTATAATGACGAGCCGTCACCTGGTGCGCGCGTAAGTAAGCTACTTCCAAGAGACGAAAAGAGGGCGCCACTATCGGAGAGGAAACGGAAATGCTGACTTAAAGGGTAAAAAAGACAGGCGCTTGACTCAAGATGGATTCCGAAAATTTATACCAAACAATTAAAACGCAAACTTACACGTGTTGTTCAGATTTGCTTAGCGCTGTTTAATTTACCTGTACAATAATTCCCATACCGTTCAATTCGTAGACAATAATTGTACTTGCAAACTTTTGACACTATTTAATTTAAAAATTATTTAAAAAAATAATGGAGTTGCCATATTCGTCTTATTATACTATGGTCAACGGCTATCAAACTTATACAGGGTTATTTTCAAAATACTATATAATATATAATACTAGGTTACTAACATCATAAACAACGACTTTTGTTCCGTGATTTTTGACAAAACATAATAAATATACCAAAAACAAACTTTTAAGTTTTTTTATACTATCTGTAGTGTTGGGTCGTACAATTTCCCATTTTGAAAAAATCATACTTTTCCGGATATTTTTCTATTTTTCCACATTTGACATTGACACCTGTCAACCGCTGAAGTGGCGGAACGAAAACGATGGAGCTATTTAGGTTTTTTTCGATATTGTCGAATCATTTTAAATTTCGTTTTTCTCGAACTTGCTTATAAATAGACAATTTTATTTAAATAAAACTTCAAAACATATTTCTAAACGAAGAACATAATATGAGCCTTCGAGAGATTCGCTCTGGACCCTATGGAGGGAAAAGTGTCGTTTTTATTTCGGCTTTCAATTATTTTGTGAAATCAATTATTTTGTTAAAAGTGGAATAGGATAGTGCTATTGTGTCTTAATCGAAGAGTAAAACGCGAAATTACACGAATCTCGAACTAAAACACCCGTATCGGCCCGTTTTAAGGAATCCCGAGTCAATCCAAGCACGCCGCCTGAAATTGCCTATCCTCTTCATTGCGGCCATATTTACAGAAACATAATTAAACGAAGACATGGCTCAAAGGACTTGTATCCAAGCCAAAATTATTAATAAAAAATGAGCCTTCCAATTATATTTTTCCAATATTTTTCTATTTTTCCGGAAATATTTCCGATATGAAATTTTTTTCGGAAAATTACCCAGCAGTAATTATCTGATACTTTTTCGATATGTAGTAAGGTAGCTTAACTTCAAACGTGCGTCCTCTCTGACGACTCCCGCGTTTTGCACAAAGTTACCACCATTTTAATAGCTGTAGAGCTCCTTGTGAAAGGGTTGGTCCAGGGTAGTACCTACTGCCACCTTACCTATTTCTGCCGCCAAACAGTAATGTCAGCATTATTGTGATCCGGTTTTGATGGATAGGAGTGCTGGTGAAATTACAGGCACATGAGACTTGTCAACTTACGTCTCAGGGTGACGGGCTCAGTGGCAGTGCCCCTCAGATCTTTGCGATTAAAAGCTCTGAGTGGCACTACAACTGTTGTGGACAGGTGTGTAGCTTACCATCAGGCGCACGACTGGTTCATCCCGTCACTTGATATTATAAAAAAAAAATTGAAGCTATTTATTTAAATCATATTAGTATGTTTATTTTTGTATTAAAGTAAAACTTTACGAATTACTTAAAGAAACAAAAACTGTTATGATACAAGTAATACAGTCCTGCCAAGTTGTTATTGTTTTACAAATAACCCTTTATAACTCCCCTTTCCCCCTCTCCCCCTCTCTGTGCCTCGGGCTAGAAATGGTATTGCCAACCATAACTTATCAACACATTTTGATAGTATTAACTGATAAGAGATATGAACCGATTGTATACGTGCCTCTTGCTTTACATCACATAATTTCAAAATTTAAGTGATTTTTACTGAATGTAAGCTAGCACTTAGTTAAATTCACCAAATTAGAGTTTTAGTGTTGTGCCATTTCAGTTTGTTGAGGTGAAAATGCGTGAAATCGTCCATTTGCAGGCCGGGCAATGCGGTAACCAGATCGGTTCAAAGGTAAAGTCTGAAAGTATGGAATAAGTAGTCGTGTAAGACATTTATTCTCATTGAGAATTACAAATAACTCAAATGAGAACACAGAGAATATTCCAATTTTTTTTTTAAGAAAGCATGCAAGTGCGGTAGTTCAACTACAAAATAATTTAGTTATACCCTCATTCTAATATTATTTTTTTATTGCGATATTTATTTCAGGCCACATAACCTTTGTAATATATACCATAAGGACATGCAATATAATATAACATTAAAGTAAACTAAGTAACTAATCTACACGACGCATCTTCTCTGTGACGTATGGCGCAATCTGGTGTCAGGTAACCGGTCGCGGAATCGCCGATATATGACTCCTTTCGGACAAAATTCTTCCTTTATGAAGGTCGACAGGTGTTCGGTCGCAATAAATATGCTTCTGTAATAAGTTTCCGGTTGATATTCAAAATTTTGCCATTTACGAGGTTTAAAACTTTGGTCAGACAAAAACTTCATACTGAAGGTTATTATTATTAAACAGCTTCTGCTTACTTAGATGACAAAAATCCGTGGTTATATCTCCTGCAGGTATTCTCAATCTAAGATATTTTGAATAAATATTGATTCAGATTTATTTATTTCTCGGATATTAATATTACAGTATAAATTGCACAACATGCCCAAGTTTAAGATATTATATTGAGATCGTCTAACGAAAATGAAAATTATAAGAAAAATACACTAATTAGAAAATTAACAATTCATTAGTAATACTATTGTTGTCATTAAATTACATATCAAATATCATTCTCCATCAAGGATGGTCATAGTTGATAACAAATATACAAAAGTATGTCAATGCGATAAAAATTAAAATAAAATAGAAAATGCTCAATAGCGTTACATTTTTAGGTCCATAAATTAAGTTTACAGAGTACAAAAGGGTTTTTTTTTTGAAGGACCTTTCTTCAGCCGGCGTCTAAATATTAAACCTCACAGACATAGATATCTGTCTGCGTTAGACCCTCTTAGTAAGTCCGATGACACCCGGGTTTTTCTCTGCAAGTGCCATGCGTCGGGTCATTGTAAATGATAAATATATTTAAATGTATATTTTCACAGACCAACCCCTAAAGTTACTTGCTTATTATTATAGATGACGATTTAAGTGTAATTAATTAGCTTACCTATGAAATAAAGATGTTTTTGAATTTCAATTTTTTTTTATGTGTGCATTTGACCTGATGGAAAGTGACGATGAGGTCGATCATGGGGCACAACTAAAATAGTGACAATTATAAATGTTATGGAAAACCATGTCGCTTACATAACTTTTTCTATCCGTTATAAAGAGCGCACAATCCCAGAACTTTTTGAGAATTTTCAGCTGTCGTTAATATACGAAAGAGCAAATACCCATGAACAATTGATTGTGAGATGATAAAACGATGAATTTGCTTACAGTTCTGGGAGGTAATATCCGACGAGCACGGGGTGGATGTTGATGGAGTTTACAAGGGAGAAAACCCACTGCAACAGTCGAGGATCAATGTTTACTTTAATGAAGCCTCATCAGGTACAATATAGGATAGTTACTGATCACACTAAACCCGTGTTAATTCTACACGAATTTCATCGCGGGCACGCCGCGTGGTTGCTGCGAGCGATCGCTTGCATCTACTGTCATGGCAAAATACGCTTAAATGAGCTTCCCGGACGCGCGGGAGAGGTTGGCTTGTCTTTCGTATTTGCGACGGCCGCGCGGTTTATTATTCCGAGGAATTTAAATGTTGTTGCCTAGGAAATAGATTTCAGATTCGCCATTAATGTACGTGAAAGCATGGGAACTAGACGCGTAGCCTAATGGGTTGACCTACCGTCTTTCAAGCAGAGGGTGTGGGTCAAATCCGAGCTTGCACATCTAAGTTTCTCGGAATGTATGTTGCCAATTCACTGCGACTTTTTTGGCGAAGGTAAACGTTGTAAGGAAACCTGCAATCTGCAAAGCGATAGATGTGTGAACTTTTGCAAGCAGTAGAGCTCCTTGTGAAAAAGTGAACAGGCTGCCGTGAACCGATAAATTGTCGTCACGATCTAATGGGAACAGTTCAACGACGAATTAAACGTCCACGACAGATAATCGTGACATGGGAACAGGCTAGACGCAACAGTCGTCAAACGATAAATAAAACGTTACGACGTAGTGAGGACGCACCCTAAGAGACTAGACTCTTTTAATGTGTCTTCTTCGTCTTTTTACAGGCCATTACGTCCCTCGAGCTGTCCTGGTGGATCTGGAACCGGGCACCATGGACTCTGTACGCGCAAGCCCATATGGACAATTGTTCAGGCCTGACAACTTCGTCTTTGGACAGAGTGGAGCTGGTAAACGACTCTTGACAACTAGTGTCATGATATTTTTCTTATGGTTTAGATATTTTCGATATATAAAAGGGCAACACCCGTATCGTGTTATTTTTCCGGCAGTTTAAATTCCGAGTGAAAAGTCAGAGTGGGGTTAAAGAAAATAACAATTACAATAATATAATACTCGAGCCATGTCGCGAACAGATAGCAAATGCCCGGACGGAATGACTCTCATCCCTTGGAGCATGGGCCGGGCACTGGTGTGTGACGTCTCATGTGCCCACACACTTGCCCCATCCCATCTCCAGCACTCCAGCAAGAGGGCTAAAGTAATAGGTACCGAGACCTCGGCTTCGACTACCTATTTACAACCTTTGGAGTCGAAACCCTTGGCCCGTGGGGTCCAAGTGCCCTTCATCTGTTCAAAATTTTATCTAAAAATATTAATATACTGTCTGGGAAACCCAAGGGCCGGCAGCTACCTTGCCCAACGCATTAGCATAGCCATACAAAGGGGGAACGCTGCCAGCACCTTGGGCACCTTGCCGCGGGAATCCAATTTTGTTCATATAATTTAAAAATCCAATTTTATTATTTTTTCTAGTATTTAAGCTTTATTTGTGCTATATGAATATAGTTCATACTTACAGCAACCAAATAATTTTTCAAAACTGAATTTCATTCAATAGCGCCTTGTAAATTTAACTTTTGTATTTTGCTTTTTTTTCTTAAGAATTCCATAATATCATTATATATATACGAGGTACTACATTTTATTTAGCCGCCGCCCATTGTAATTCATAGCCTTAGCAAGCTAGAATTACTTTAAAATCCAACTTCGACTACTTACGTCAGTAGTTTGTCCTACGATGTAGTAAAACCATCTCCGGAAATCCGGAATTCGAAAAAATTATTAAGTAATATGTAGCTATGTATATACATGTATATGTGTATATATATATGTGGAACACCTTTTTCCGACCCATGCTTATCACTACACATTAGAGTAAATTTGATAAGTTGCAGCTTGTCAATACAAAACAAATTATTAATATAAATAACTATTTGGTACCCGCGGCGACATCTGATGTGCCAATAGGTACTGTAATTGTATCGCGATTAGCAATTGTCTTGAGTTATTTGTCCATTGTTGTACGACCTTATTTTCACGAGTCCTTCTGGTCCTATATTTATTGAGAACTGGCGTAAACAATAATATAAAACCCGATGATAATTAAAATTATTAAAATAAACTAAATTTAAATAATTTTATATTTTACTACAATAAAATATAAAATAATTTTAAATTTTATTGTAGTAATTCATTTAAAACGCCTGGCATTTTAAATTAATTCGCGTTTCGTTTGTAAACAACAATATATTATTGGTTACGAAATATTTAATAGATCAAAGTTGTTGTCAAACTCAGTCTAAATGTAATTCTGTTTTCAGGAAACAATTGGGCCAAAGGCCATTACACCGAAGGCGCGGAATTGGTAGATGCAGTCTTGGATGTCGTCAGGAAAGAGTCAGAGAACTGTGATTGCTTACAAGGTACCTGCTGCAAATTACGTTACTTCTCTTCTTGTTTGTATAACTTTTTTTATGATAGGGGAGACCGAGGAAGCTTGTGACAATTCTTACTTTTACTGACATATCTCAGATTCAAAAAGTCATAGGGCTACGAATGACAAAACACGATTTCACGATATATACAGAAAAACATACAGCAGATTTAACCTGCCCCACATTAGGGTTGAATTCTTTTTCTTGGTGGAGCTTTTGGTAAGGCTCTAAGTGCTTCTGGAGAAAATGTATGTGACAGTGGCGCCATCGTACGCTGTCTCTTATGGCGCACAAAACTGTAAACAACACGTGCAGGAGTAAACGGCTTGTTATGCGTACGGTATAAAAGCAGCGCGTAGCGGAGCAGTGGGGTTCGATTCCCTGGCCGGGAGAAATATTTGTACGGCCTAAGTTTATTTATCTCGTGAATTTGATGTTTAATATATAATATAACAGAATAGAATAGACCTGTGTGTCCATGGCACCCGCGATACATGATTTCCCTAGAGCCATTGAGTACGTTATTAAAAAAGTATGAAATTGGGTATGTTGTTATTTATCTCAGGTTTCCAACTGACCCACTCCCTGGGAGGGGGCACAGGCTCCGGCATGGGGACCCTGCTGCTCAGCAAGATCCGTGAGGAGTACCCCGATAGGATCATGAAGACTTTCAGTGTTGTTCCCTCGCCTAAGGTACAGCCCCACACCTATATCTACATTAGTTTTGATTGTAGTGACCTGTGCGAGCACAGGAACCTTCTGAGTTCAGGTTCTGACTCCAGATCAGCCAGTGTACAGGGTTGTTACAGACCATTGTCATCCGGTTCTCAAGAGGCTAGTGCCTCGGGTGGGCCACTCCAGGTGCACGAATAGCATCGTCGCTATTTTCCATGTAGGTATCGGAGCTGGAGGCACGCTCGCCTAAGGTACAGTGAGCATGACGTACTTACTGTTGGGAGTACTTTCTAGAATTTCTTAAATTACATCCTTAATACAGGTGTAACAAAAACTTACTTAACTTACGGTAGGTACGCGCTATCCATATTGCAGCTGGTAATCTAAGGCTTGATTCATATCAATGCAACATTAACTTTATCCTCCACAAAATAAGGCAACATTTCATTAACATAAACAAATGAAAACGAAGCTGCGGCAAGCGGCGACGGACTGCAGCGAACTGCGACGGGCTGCAGCGAACTGCGACAGGCGCATTTAATAAAGTCGCGAGGTGCAGCGCGGAGTCGCCTACGGTCGCCAACCGTCGTCACCAACCGTCGGCGACTTGTTTTTTGTTGTTTCAAGGAATGTATACTTTATTTAGTGGAGAATATGTTGTATAGTTTATTGCATTTTATAAAGTGCGCCTACCGCAGCTCTCTGCAGCCAGCCGTCGCTTACTGGATTCGTTTTCATTTGTTTGTTTAATGAAATGTTGCCTTATTTTGTAGAGGATAAAGTTTATTGCAGCGCCGCGACGCGTCGGGTAACGTCTCCACAATGTGAATCAACGCAATTCAACAAAAAAAAAGTTACCTAAAACAGTATCAAGTACTAAGGTATCCGTAATATTACACTATTTTTAACCGACTTCAAAAAAAAGGAGATTCTCAATTGTCTGTATTTTTGTATGTAACGCGATTTTTCCTATATATATGAATTGTATAGGAAATGCAAATTGAAGCGCGCCCAATGGGCCTACACGAGCGGGCGGGCCTTCAGTGCTCAAGGTCAACTTGCACCGCGAACAGCTCAAGAATTTTAGCTAAAAATGACGAAATGTGCGGTAAATGAGTGTAAAAATACGTCAGACAAACATAAAATAGATACTAACATCACATTCCACAAGGAAGTAACGCGTTTCAACTCGTATTTTTACATAAATATTCACTGAAACCGAAAATTAACCTACTACTAAAACTAGCCTACATGAATCTGATTTTTCCCTCACTTGTGACAATTCGTTTGATATGAAACTATCATTCTATGCGTTATTATTCTAAGGCGATAACTTTATGAATCGATTTTGGTGACTCTTTTTTGTTGGATAGAGGGTACCTCACTAATGGTCCCAATTAAATTTGAAGGAAATATTCCATCTCTAAGGGCAAACTAGGGGATGAATGAGTTTAAGGTCAGTATTTTAGTACTGTACACTGAGATTATTCACAAATTATTTTCTTTCAAGGTCAGCGAAGTGGTCCTGGAGCCATACAACGCAACTCTCTCAGTCCATCAGCTGGTGGAAAATACAGACATGTCCTTCTGCATCGACAACGAGGCCTTGTACAATATTTGTTTTAGAACTTTGCGGCTTACGAGCCCGAGTTATGGCGACTTGAACCATTTAATTTCGGTAAGCAAAGATTCTACCTACCTCCGTACTGTTACGTCCTTTTTTACTAATCTGCATTTGTAAAGCTGCAGCAAGACAAAAAACCCTTTAACAAAGCTTCTGTTCCTTTCAAAGCAGTAGAGCTCCTTGTGCAAGAGTTCGTCTAGGGAAGTACTGCCACCTTACCTATTTCTGCCGCCAAGCAGTAATGTCAGCATTACTGTGTTCCGGTCTTGTAGGGTAAGGGTGCTGGGGAAATTACAAGCACATGACACTTGTCAACTTATGTCTCAGGGTGACGGGCGCAGTGGCAGTAGGTACCTTTGCGCCACTTCCCATCAAGTGGCTCGTCTGCTCGTTTGCTTCCTTCTTTACATTAAAAAAAAATTGGACGTACCTAGTTAAACAAAAAAGATCCAATGTACATCCAGTCACTTTCGAAATAGGTATGGCAGTTTGAAGTTTAAAAGTGTAATTCATGTAACTCCAGAGATTCATAGTTATATGTTGAATTTTTTTGCTGATCTAAGTGGTTAGATTTTAGGAACCATTTGGTACGTATAACTCATTTTTTGGTATTTTGTGGATTGGAATCCTTTTTGCTTAACTACATCCCAGTTTTAGCGCCATCTAGTGCTTACATCTGGGCCACGGACGACGTAGTCATCGTCGAGTTTCTTGCATTACTTCAAATGCATTGCGTCATTTTGTGAAATTCACCACTTTACAGAAACTACTAAAGCGGGATTTACATTTGTCCGAATTATTTATATCATTCGACCATTATGTTGAACAAAGCGCTTTTGTTAATTTTCAGTACACCATGTCCGGTGTCACTACGTGCTTGCGTTTCCCGGGACAGCTGAACGCTGACTTAAGAAAATTGGCTGTAAACATGGTGCCCTTCCCAAGATTACACTTCTTTATGCCAGGTATGTTTTTTAAATTAGATAGTGCTGAAATTGTAACAGTCTACCGATACCGAATAACTCTTTTTGGGGTCATTAAAATTACTATTTATTGTCTTTAAGTCCGTATGTAATGTCAATGTTTTACAATAACGGCCAATCTCACATTCGGTGTCCTCAACCTAATTACCGTAGCCATTGTTATTTCTCACTTAATATACCCAATAACATTGAAATATGAACAATTTTAAGCTTAACTATCAATATGTCTAAATGACATTAGAGTAGACAAAGTACTTTTCAAGCTATTAAGAAATAAACAATTTATGGAAACGGTAATTAGATCTAATTACCGGTCCGTAGCCATGGATACGATAATAAGAAAGTTGAAACATTTTTAGGAAAAACCTACTATTTCTGAGAAAACTATTTTGTCTATTCCAATGCCATTTAGACATATTGATAGTTTAGCTTAAAGTTGTTCATATTTCAATGTTATTGAATATAAAAAGCGAAAAAAAAAACAATGGCTACGGTAATTAGGCTAAGAACACCGAATGTGAGAATAGCCGAATTTAAACGGTCTAAAGTAAGCATATGAAGTATAGTTATTTTTGATATAAGTGCAGAAAGTTAGTCATTATTCACGAGTCTCGAGGCTTCTTGGCCCGAGCCAGAGGCGAGGGTCAAGACGCGAGACAAGTGAAAATGACAAATCCGCACGTGTATCAAACGACGTTTTTTAATACATTTGCGAAAAAACTACATTGAAAGTAAAATAAAACAGTATTTACACAACCCATTTTCTGCTAGTAAATTAAAATAATGAAATACAACCACTGCAACCATTCGTTAAAAGTCTATGGAAATCTAGTTCTAACGTGCTGTTTTTGTTTATTTTCTGTAATATCGGTCTGTAACCACTTTTCTTATTATGAAGTCCTGGTACTTTTGTTCAAACTTCTTTAGGAACCCGTGCACGGTAGTGAGATACAATTTATCTGTAATTCCTAGAACAAATAAATATATACTAAAAATCTCGCCTGTCACCCATTCAGGGGTAGGCAGAGACTGTGGACCTCCACTCGATACGTTCATTATATAGTATTTGTAAATAAATATAAGTTTGAATGACGAATGACTTATGTACGTCACAAAGCACATAAATATTAAATAAATATACAACTTCTTTAGTTCTATGTTTAAGACTTAAAACAACAGTAAATTAAAAAAAAACTGGAAAAGTAAAAAGCACTAGTGCGAGAAATCCAACTTTCCGCACGATTTGTAGTGCGAAAAATACCACGTTTTGAGCAACTGTATTAAAAAATCTTTTTCATAAAAAAAATTACATGTGTTTGCCAAGTTTTATTAAAATCGGCTAACGGAAAGTAGGTGTAATCCAATAAATCTAATTCATCCCCTAATTTGCCACCGTTGGAAGAGGATTATTTTCTTCTAATTTCAAAGGAACCATAATGCTCTCACGAATTTAACAAATGTAATGGAGTAATCACGTAATATGCGCACAAAAAATATATTTGAATTGAGAAACCTCCTCCTTTTTGAAGTCGGTTAAAAAAATTATTATAATAACACAAGAAATAATCAGTTGCAAAGTGTACCTTGAAATCGTTTACCTAAGCCTGATTTTTGTCAAATGAACAACTGTTTTCATCACTCGGAATTTTAAGTTACAATTGACGACTTTCTTTCAAAAAAGGATCATCGAAATTGGCTCACAAACATGGGAGTAATTGCGTAACACACGTGCAAAAAAATAGTCTAATTGAGAACCTCCTCCTTTTTTTAAGTCGGCTAATAAGTATTTATGCCAGAGATTTTATTTTGCAGGATTCGCGCCTTTAACAGCAAAGAATTCATTCCACTACCGTCCACAAACAGTCAGCGAACTTATGAGCCAGGTAAAGTAAACAAAAATGGAAGTAAACATATTAAAACAATAAATACAACAGAAATGCTTAGTTTGCATAGCACGTGTGCCAACAGTACGCGATGTTCAACATATTAAGTATGTGGAACTTCGCGTTCAGTCCGCCATTTTCGTTTCGCTGATTCAGCGAGAAACGGAATTACTTTCGCATTTTTAATATTAGTTTGGTATATTTCTTTCTATTTATAATTCGGCCCCGGTTAGTTAAAAGGGCGCATCAGTATCAGTAAAAAAGACCGATCTGTCACTATTTTTATTTTATTTCCTAGACGGATAAGGTATGAAGTTATCGCAAGAGAAAAGTAGATTTTTAAATTTAATTTCTTAAAATTTTCTTTTTCTAATGTGAAGTTTTCATCACAAGCCCCTTTCAACTAACGGCGGTAGAATTTTAACTTCAAGTTCTGTAAATGTTACACTCTTGCAAGATATCGGCTCTTACAACTACGGGGCGTTTCCAGCTTCAGCTAATTGTATTACGCTTCTATATTATGAAAATAATTGATCCTCAGATGTTCAACCCTGGTAATATGATGGCGGCCTGCGACCCTCGGAATGGACGCTATCTTACTGTAGCTACGATGTTCCGTGGATCCATGTCTATGCGAGAGGTCGATGAGCAGGTTCTCGCTATACAGAATAAAAACTCTAGGTATGTCGATACTTCTCCGAATATATCAGTGTACGCATGTATAATAAAGCAAATATTGTAACTCGCTCGGAGGGAAGGCAAATAATAAAAAAAATATGAGAAAAATCACCTGACTTTAAATACCACACCGTGGCCCGTATATTGACGGAAAGGCAACAAGGCTGACAGCGAGCCGTTATTTCGAACGTACGTTAATAAAATAGTGGGCGTAAATTGTGCCATGTACGGCTGTTTATCTTCATGGGATAAAACGAGGAGTTACTTTCGTTTCCGAAAGATAAAACGAGGTACTTATTACTTATGTGCAATGCGCGTGCAGCGCGCGCGCTTCGCACCTGCAGCGCATTCACCAGATCTGTACGCACCCTTATGTTTGTTTTACTGTTTTAAGTTTAATTAAATAATATTTGTATTTTATCATCTTCTACAGCTATTTCGTGGAATGGATTCCCCACAATCTAAAAGTAGCTGTCTGTGACATTCCACCCCGTGGTCTTAAGATGTCAGCTACTTTCATAGGAAACTCTACAGCTGTCCAGGAAATCTTCAAACGGATCTCTGAACAGTTTACTGCCATGTTCCGGAGACGGGTAATGTTATAAATCCTACTTAAGGCGAGAAACAGTATTGCCTTGCCTTGTCGGGGCGATGTTGTCTCTTAAGCCAATGTTTTTTGGTCACTAGCCGTGATACTTGACATTGTTGTCGTTTAAACTCGTGATTTGTTTAAATTTTATAATTAAAAAATTAATCAATATCTAAACTGACCACAATTATTCTTTTCTCTTTACTTTCTAATCTGTGGTAGTTGCTGACGGCTCTTTACCTCTTCTAGTTTTCTTATTCAATATCATGAACATAATTTTCTAAGGTACGTATCTTGTGTTGATTCTTTGTATTTCATTCTACCATTATCCCAATTCCAATATGAACTAGAGTTGCTGGGAATGTTTATTTATTTATTTCTTTATCTTTTTAGACAATACATAAATGGCGGACTTATTATAAGTAAATAAGGCATTCTCTACCAGACACAGAAAAAAATATTGTACAGCATAAACATACTTAATATACTTATATAATAAACAATACATATACATATATAATATTAATTAATAATATATAAGTACTCACAGCAACATTATCCAGAGTCTTGGTCTAGAAGATTGTCAAAAAGATAATTGCGCAACATGCGCCAGAAAGATAACTTGTCTGAGCTTGTCTTATGTTTAGCGGGAGCGCGTGCCAAAGACGGATTGCTAGAGCAAAAGAATTAGACACAAATTCAGTACGGTGATAAAGAATCTGAATCCGCATCTGGATCGGCAGATAATTCGCATAATATGAAATTTTTGTAATAAACTCAAGTTATTGCTAAATCAGAAACACCATTACTCAGTTAATGAATATTTTGAAGTGACACTCGTTAACACGTTCATCGCCGTGGTGGGTCAAAATGACCGGCATCTCATCTACCTATTATGGGGGGTTAAAATGACCTGCACGACGCGCCTAACTTTACGATACTCGTTCACGCCGCATGTGGCAAACGCCACGTATTTAGCCGTATAACATGACCGGCGTGGCCCTGACGAACTGCTGTTGCCACTTGGTTTATAGGATTTTTGATGGCATACACACTTTTCTAGACTACGAAAAACATATATTATATTTCGAATAAAAAAAATACTTTAATTGCTAATTGGATTTAAAAGTTACAAACTAAGCAAAATCTCAAATGAAAGACGTACGTATATGTTAGGTAATCATTGATCGAACATTATGTGTCATACTCTGCCCGGCTTTTTGTCCGGGTTGACATGCCCGGCACTAAATATAATTTCAAACTAGACCCAAATAACTAAATAATAATCATAAACTAATATAATACTAATATAATAATAATAAACTAAAAAATAATCGCGAAAAAAAAATCATATACGTATACAAATGAGACCAAAAACAATAATATAAGCCAATGTCATATAATTGAACATTTTTGAAAATGTTCAATTATAACGTGTTAAGTAATATTGCTTCCCTTATGTAAACCCTTAACTTGCTTTCAAATTGTATTATTCATCATTTTAATTCTTGTATTCAAATTGTATTTTTAATTTTCATTCTTTTATTCAAAATGTATTATTAATTTTAATTTTAGTTTATAAGACTTATCATTTGTTATACCCTTTCTGGGTGCACGTAACTGTTTAAATGTAACGTGTCTACCAATGCAAATAAATAAATAAAAAGCCGCTGTAGCCTGATGGTTCGACCTACCACTTCTCAAACAACCCACGACGGATTCGAATCCAGGGCTTATCGTCCGGGCTCGTTTACTTCTGAATGTCATGGAATTTATGTGCGAAATTTAAATTTGCCTCGGGTTTTTGTGAACGGCGAAGGAAAACATCGTAATAAAACCTGCACGTAGAAGAAGGTTCAGGACCATCGGAAAACGTGTCAAGTCCCCAACCCGCATTGGGCCAACGTGGCGGTATTTATTATCATTGCAGTAGATAATTTCTTTCTGCGGCTCGCTAATATCGCACTGCTATTACAATAGTGTTACAACTCAAAATATGTGAAATTCAAGATTCTATCATTAGTGAACGTAAAATTTGATACTCTACACGTCAATAAAACCGTCTTTAGAATATTGTAAGAAGCAACTAAATTATATCTACTTAACTCAAAATGAGACACGCTTTATGTGCTAGATCCGGCCAAAGCAGTCCTTATTCAAAAATATGAAACTATTTTTTCCGAAGAAATGATATAACCTGGCCTCTCGCCCAGTGACCGCTTGACGTTGTGTTTTGGGACACCCTATATATGTATATATATATATATATATATATACATAGCTACAAGGAGTGACATAAAGTTGATAAAACCCATTGACTTACAATTATATGGACGTCGTCGGGTCCGCGCTAAAAAGTGTCCGAGCTTATAGGGCGTTAAAATCGTATACAGAGCGTCATTCACGCTTTAGTCTTCGTTTGTTCGACTGACAGCGAAGCAAGCAAAATTAGACAGCACTGCGATGACATTACAATTTAAATTCAACGTTTTAGCTTTTTCATATTGAAAAGCTAAAACGTTGAATTTAAATTGTAAAGGAATATTCCTTTACATGTCACTACGTTTAAATAGGTTGACTTGGGACATTTTTTTCGTGGTTTTTGTATTAGACCCACCGTCCATTTATTTGTAAGTCAATGGTTAATACACTATTATATTAATAGTGCGATTTCTCTTGTTCTTGCAGGCGTTCTTGCACTGGTACACAGGGGAAGGCATGGATGAGATGGAGTTCACAGAGGCAGCTAGCAACATGAGTGACCTAATTTCAGAATACCAGCAGTACCAGGTAAGAATAAATATTAGACAACATCACCTGTATTGCTCTGATCCCAGAGTAAATAACTAAAGCACTTGTGTTATGGAAATCGGAACCAACGACGGTACCACAAACACCCAGACCAGAGACAATAAATAGAAGATACTATGAAAACCGGTGTGCAAACCGCTCGACCATGAAGGTCGTTATGAAGGTTCTACGTGACGAAAAGGTCAAATTTAATAAAAAGTTTTTTTGATGCAAAATTAATAACATTTTATTTAAATTTCTCCAACTTCTGCTGTCACATTAAAATCATTATTACAAGAGACTGGGTTTATCAGCATTAAAAAAAATTAGCCTTCCAGCCAGCCATCTGCAATAGATTTCTCATAGATGGCGCTACGACTAAAAAGTCGTTGAAAGACACGACGCAAGCACATAGAAAAACTCGTGAGGTCCGTTGGTTCGTTCCGTGGCTTAGTTGGTATAGCGTCTGGCACGGTATGCAAGAAGACGTCGGTTCGAATCCGACCGGAGTGTTTTTTCTGAGTGTTCGATCTTTGTATTAATAATTATAACAAACTAGTGGAGTAATTTCACGAAAAATAATTGAATATCAATTCAATAAAAATTTAATTAAAAATTAGCCAATTTAATTCATTTTGTATGAAATATTATTTTTTTAAATTTGACCAACTTCGGCTGTCCCGATTTTTTTCGTCCCGTACAATGAAATAATCCCTTCATGAAACTTAGTCTGTTAGCGCTAAACTCACGCTTGACCAAAAAATTGACTATGCCAAAATTATTTGCACAAAAAAATACTAATGATTCTAAAATAGTTTCCTTGTATCTTCTTTGGTTTCGTATTTCCCCAAACTGTCCCGTTTAAAAACACTCAGCCTATATAATTTGTTTCATATAGTTCGAATATATTTACAAGTTCATGTTTAAAAGCACTTTTGACGTATAATGGCTTAATATGACTTTGTTCGTGGCGAATATCATGGATCCCGATTATTTTTTTATTTCCGAGCTTACCATTTGTGTGATATTTCCAGGACGCTATCGTAGACGCAGATGACATAGAATTTGACGAGGAAGACGAGGTCGAAGAACAGGACGAAAAGCACGCTGTGAAAGTTGTTGAATAACTGATCTTAGTCGGATGGCACGAGAAAAATTTTTGAAAGAGTTTTTATTTGATAATATATACACTTTAAGGAAAACACTACACTTACTGTTTTGAGCCAGTCAGAAAAATATTTTTTGACCGGCTTAATACGATTCATGTCGATAGATGTGATGACCCCCTTATGGCAGGTTTACAGCTTATAAGTAACGAAGAAATTAACTAAATTTGTGAGTGTAAACAATCACGCAACAGCTGTTAAGTAAAACTATGTAACAAATTTGCAACAAGTTTCTGATTTGATAAATAAGAAGCTATTTTGCAATGGTTTAAATACGTTTATTATTCCGGAGCACAAATATTACATGATAAAGTTGAGCCTTGGAAGAAGGCCGAGGTTACCATATTTCTTTCTGTTATTTTTTCTATTTCGAGCAAAAAATATGTAAAAAGAGTAGATTGACCTGACACTGCTTTCGTGGTTGTCACAGTATTATTTGTTACATAGCTGCCTATTCATATTGCTACTTAGTGGTATTTACATAATCTCGCATATTTACACGTTTCTAGGTTCTTTGATACCAATTTGTAGAATTTTGGTTGCGATATACTTAACTATTTATTTGAAATACAAATAACATTAATTTTTTTTTAAATCAATGGAAACCCAAAGTGTTCGTTTCCATAATGGTAAGCAAATTTCAACTATTTGAAGAAGTTTTTTCATGTTTTTATGATAAAATCAATTAGAACATGATAATTGATAACACAGAAACAAAAATCGTGTTACACGGTGTAATCATCAATGGATAACCAGATAAGTAGATTACAATCAAACCTATTTTTAGACAAAGTTGCGCTGACACTCCCACACACAGCACATTCCGCAATAAACGTGGCTTGAGCTTTGAAGCATTTGGTGGGCTAACGTTTTGTTTTGTTTGCAAAATGTCAAAGTACTTATAACTTCACTAAAACACGTGTATTCTTTAGACAACTTAAAATTAAGTTAAAACTTACTTAATTACTTCGTCGCTTAATATGGGTAAACCAGCCATAAGACCAGAGGTAAACCAGGCCTTTAATACCATTGTTCTTGTCTCTATCGGCCATTGTGCGAAAATAAGCGTGTAAGCAAGATAGCACTTGATATGTGACCCCCTAACCTTTTACTTGGTTCAGAGTTTGAATCTGTGAGACGTAAACTTCATTGTGTTATGGCTTCCTTATTGCATCATTAATGAATGACGTGTGAAAACACCTTTAAGCCATTTTGATCTTTAATTACATTTCTTAAATACTGCTTTCAACCGAAAAGCTTTTCCGTTGAATGCGTAAGAAAGCTTTTACAACCAAAAGGTCGGTTAGGGGTCCGTTATATTAGGACATTGGCTGCACTAAATGTAATGCATTTACAGTATAGTATGAATTATAATTAGATGTACAAAATGTAAACATAGAAATGTCATTGTCAAAGTGTAAATGCAGGTATGCTAAACCTTCTATTTTTAAGAAGTTCACATGTTCTAAAATTTTAATTATCTATTACAAAATATTAACAATAAGCAAAAACTTTAACAACACACAACAATTTAACAAACGCACTAAGCAGACAAAAAAAACATTCGAGTTTAAGAAACAACAAAATGTCGGTACAAAAAATGTTTTTGATCCCGTCTGTGTTACCAGTGGCATAAAATTATTTACTACTTTAAACATAGTCTTATGATTGTGTTAAACAAAACTAAGTAAAAATACATATGGCAAAATATGAATTGTTCTACATTTCATCGGATTATGCTTGAAATAGTTCTACGGGTTTATTATCGTCAAAAATAGTGAACTACAATTTAAAACGTTTTATTACTGGATTATGCCCTTCTATACATTTTGGACATATAAATGATTTATACTATAGTTAGTACCCTTAGAATAATAACGCATAGAAACCTAGCCCGCACACGCTAAGCGCGGCAAATTGAAGCGCGCCCAATGGGCCTACACGAGCGGGCGGGCCTTCGGTGCTCAAGGTCAACTTGCAACGCGAACAGCTCCAGAATTTTAGCTAAAAATGACGAAATGTGCGGTAAATTAGTGTAAAAATACGTCAGACAAACATAAAATAGATACTAACATCAAATTCCACAAGGAAGTAACGCGTTTCAACTTGTATGTTTATATAAATATTCACTAAAACCGAAAATTAACCTACTACTAAAACTAGCCTACAGGAATATTGATTTTTGCCTCACTTGTGACAGTTCGTTTGATATGAAACTATCATTCTATGCGTTATTATTCTAAGAGGGAGTCTACTTCTCTTCTCCATCCGTAACAATTACTGTCAAATAAGTAGTACTCATTAAATGCAGCGATAATGTAAAGTACGATATTTCATTCGCATCATGCGTCTTTACATTTTTAAAAATACAATAAGAACGCCAAATATATATTAATGTTCTCGACTTTGTAATCTCGTATTAATTCTCTTCACAACCTGGAGATTTGATTTTTAACATTCATTTTCTTCACATACTGTCCTCTAAAGAGAAGGTTCCTTTGGAGAACGGGAGTAGATCTCCTGGATCAACCCTCGACTGCAGTACACGAAGCGCGCCTGCAAGACTATCTTTTTGATAACAATGTTATTTCAGTTGTTCAACATTTTCGAAATTATTTGAAGTTTGTACAAAATATTTACAATTTTATTTTTATATTTGCATTAAATGTAGAATTCGTTCACAAATACACTCCCGGACACGGAAGTCGAGCCACCTTGCATTTTCAGTATTAATTTGCCTGAACTTAAACAATATTCGATTGATCGAAAACTACTAAGCTATTTTGAAATTGGTATACTAAACGTCATTTCCAAGAGTCCTTGTTGATAATTTGAATTTATAAAACCGGGAAAACCTGTTTTCTACGGTGATAACAATATTTTTGTGTTCTGCCCTTTAAGAGTCAAAATGCAAGGTGACTCGATTTATGTGTCCGGGAGTATATTATGTTTTTTTTTTGTTTATTATCTTACAAATCCCACTGTTAATAGTTGTTTGCAGACATACCTATTCAACAATATTTGTTGTTCGGTTCAAATGACGTAGTTTTTTATGACGTAAGGGGATAATTTTAACAGCCTCCGTGGCCGTGGCCGAACGGTTGCCATGCTAGTCTGCCACGCAGAGGTTCCGGGTTCGATTCCCGGGCCGGGAGAAATATATGCTTGGCCTACATTTATTTCTCTCATAAGTTTAGGTGTAATTTGTGGTTATCTATGTGTATCCATAGCACCCGCGATACAGGGTTTCCTTGGCGGGGCTATGAGCTATATTTTAGTAACATTAGAGCTCCTTATTTCGAATTAGGGGACCACTCGCCATTTTTGTTAATACACCATTTTCGTTCCGCCAAGCAGTAATGTCAGCATTCCGGTTTTGAAGGGAGTGCTGATGAAATTACATACAATGGGACTTGTAAACTTAGTCTCAATGTGACGGACGCAGTGGCCGGGACCTCAGAGATGGCGACACCATGAAAACCGGTGAGCAAGCCACTCGACCACAGAGGTCTTCATAAAGGTCTTTCGAGACGAAAAGGTCTGAAACTTTGGTAGCGGGGATGCTGATGACATTCAGATTACACATAGATAGGTAGACAAAACGTTTATTATCTTGTTTCACACACAGCAATAATGAGACAAGTATGGTAACCCCACACAAACGTGGCAGCTTGGCTTGTAGTGTTCGTCCAGGGAAGTAATGGCACCGTACCTATTTCTGCCGCCGAGCAGTAATATGAGTTGCGTTCCGGTTTTGAAGGGTAAGGGTGCTGGTGAAATTACAGGCACATGGGACTTGTCAACTTATGTCTCAGCGTGACGGCCGCAGTAGTAGTGCGCCTCAGATCTTTGCGATTTAAAGCTCTGAGTGGCTCTGCAACTGCTAAGCACAGACGTATCGCTTACCACCAGGCGCACGACTTGTTCGTCCTGCCACTAAGTACAAAAAAAAATGCTGCCACGTTAAGTTTGAGAATGAATTTCTTGAGCAAGCCTATGAGAATCATGTAATAATATACTAACGAAATAAAACAAAAAAATCAAATTTGGACCTAAATAATTATTGTATTTACATTTATAAAATTTCACACATATGTACATATAATTATTGCGTCTAAAATCTCATAAAAAGTTGTACGTCCATTTCTATTTTTTTTTTCATTAATTTCTACTGTGGTGGGCCGCATTGTGGCTACCAAATGAGCCTAAATTCTTTGTTCAAAATGTCCATTTGTAGAGCTAAGTCGCCGTTCTACCAGAACCCATCGAGTATATAACCAGAAATGGAGACGAAATGTCATTTAATTTGTTGGTAAAGTATTCTGCCAAATCATTACGGTGACAACTGCGCTACGATTGGCTAGCCCGAATTCGAAACAATTGACGGCAGTCATCAATTGTTTCACTTCATATCGATCAGTTTAACTTGAGTTTTGCTATAATGGACGAAAATTCAAAAATTACATACTTAATACTTAATTACCGATGAAATGTAATTCCGTTTATTTTGTTATTAGACGTTTTGCTGCTTTTCCCACACTACCGAATGGAACAGCCCCCATTGTTAGAGATATTATCTTTATTACAATAAATACAGAACATTTTTGGATGGGCCTTTTTTCGT